ACACTCAAATTAAAGCTAACTAGTACATTGAAAAAATAACTTTAGTAAGGAGAACACTGAAAAATGCATTTTCTAGTTGTAAATGTATAAATAACCATAATAGAATAATAATTGATTAAAAAAATGTACTTTTATTTGCACTTTACCTTTGAGGATAGACGACGGTGGAAGTGTAAACTGGTGGAAGAGGTGAGAGAAGAGAAATAGTACTAAAACTTAACTTACATAAGAATGTAACAATAACTTAATAATAACTTAACACTAATTTTTTAACCTGTTTTATATATTTTTAAAATTTTTTATTCACTGCTTTTTGCTTTCTTTTTTTCACTTTCACTAGCACTTTCACTAGATAGAGGTCACTTGGTAAAATATCTATCCAAAGACGTTTGGCTTTGCCTACTTTTCGAAATGTCTCTAAAACGACTTAGGCAAATGCCATTACTCTGAGCAACAATACGGCCAGTGTGAATCTTTTCGGGATGTTTCTTTTCAATAAAATCAGTCACTTTCTTATAATACCTCAAGATTTCCTTTATCGAGCGAAATCCTTCCCCGACGAAGTAAACAATCGGACTGAGACCAATGAACAGAAGTGAATAAAAAATGGCGCTGCCAAGTAATGTAACGTCGTATGGTGAGTTTTTGTTTATACCATGGAGCAAAATTATGTTCAAATTTCATGTCGTGTCCTGAAAATTTCGTATACTGCAGCGTTCGTATCCTGAGGAACTACTGTATTTACTAAGCGAAGAAAGAGGGAATAACACTCATTTAAATAAAAAAAAAACACAGGCAACTCCAAAAAAATTTATTACCTCTAATTTCGTAGCGATAAATATACGTTATGGGGTTTATATAAGAAAGAAGTACAAATCTCTAAAACAACACACGTTGTTTAACTAAAAATATAAATTTCAACAAACTAGCGGTAACAATTAGAACATTATAAGTATTTCAACATTTTATTTACTTTCCTTTTAAGTAATAATATACAGATAATGTGTCTGTAATTTTATAGCAACATTTTGCATGTAATATTGTCATAAAGTAAGCATTGTCTTTAATGCTGTTAATTTTCTTTTCCAAAAAAATTATTTTAATGAATTCACGGTAATGTTTCACACTCGCGGGCAAGGAATAATAATTACAACAGCCTTAAATTAACTGCCATTAATAAAACAAATGTAATTAATATTTATTAAAGTTTCCTAATATGGCACTGTTTGGATTTTATTTTTTACTCGGTCAATACTGATTTTTAATGTTTCTTTTATTAATGTGTAGATAATAGAGTCGAAGAATTGTTGAATATCCAATCTGGAGTACAAACTCCTATTTACACAGACTTTTTTGTACCTTCTTTCTTAAACTTGGTTTATTTCTTTTTCATTTTATTTTCTTTTCCTAGATAATTTTTAATAATCTAAAATCCCTAAACTTCCTTCGATGGCCATCTTCATTTATGCGATATTTCATAGCCCACACTCCAATGACTACAACATATTCACTTTGACTTTTACAGTATCTCGCGAGTGTTTGTAGTGTTTTTCTTTCATACAAAAATTTTAAAATAGTTTTAATGTTTTCGAGATACGCGACAAATTTGATTTTTATACCCAACACAAAATTGAAAAGATTACTTAATATTCTATTTATTTGCTTTTTCTATTCGATACCTAAATTATAGTAATTGGGCGGAAATTTGAAAAACTTTTAAACTGTATTCCTACTGTTGTCCGTTAGCCTATCTGTTTGTCTGTCCTTCCTTAATCTAGAAAAAGCAGCTTTATAAATGAAAGTCACGACCCAATATAAAATGGACACGGACAGGATTACCCCAATTAACTGTGTACGAACATTAGACGAAAACATGAAGTCACATTGTTTCAATTCAGAAATTGCTCTAGAAAGAAATATATCCTAAACTAGCAGGTGGGCCCGGCGTTGCTCGGGCAAAAGTAACGATAACTAAGATAAAGATTATTACGTTACAGTCAACCTTACCCGTTTTCACAGAATGCAAGAATTGGGTCCCCTTGTTTCCAGACTAATTAGAGAATTTTTAGATGGGTCTAAAAATATGTTCGATTTCCCGCAAAAACGAAAAAAACTGCATCTGCGT